ACACACAGGTTAAAAGATAGCTACAGGGAAATACACAGAAACAACGCCACAAATCCGACACACAACATTTAACAGAGCGCCCAGGCTAGACAGAATATGCACAGACCAGTCACTCACAGTCACGCAGTGCACACACATAAACAGCACACTCCAATTTACAGACCACAAAGCAGTTTTAGTAACAATAGGACCCGGCGTACACACACACAAAAAAATATCACCACACTGGAAATTTAACAACAGTTTATTGGAAAACGAAAACTTCATACAAGCAGCCACAAGCACGATCACCCTCTACACACAACCACTCCCCACCAACAACATACGCGAGTCCTGGGACATGATGAAAGATTCAATCAAGACCGTAAGCATCATCATGTCCAAACAAATAAACGCAGACGACACCGAGAACACTTACTAGAGCAAACACTACAAACAGCAGAAGAAGAAGGAACACTACAAGAACCACATAACTTGGAATTAAAAACAGTACTAGAAGAAATCCGACAACACAGATACAAAGGGGCACAAATACGCACAAGACTCACAAACATACCAGACGAAAAACCCACACAACAATACCTAGCGTTAGAACAATCTATACAGAAAAACAGACACATAGACAAAATCATAGATGCGCAAGGCAACACACAAACAGACTCGCACACAATAGTACACGCATTCCAAAACTTCTTCACCACACTGTACACAGAGGAACACACCGACCAGGCGATACAAGACGAATACGCAAAACACACAGCACAGCAAATCGAGCAACAACAACAAACGCTTGACACCAACACACAACTAGCAGACCTTCGGGACGCTCTCAACTTAAAGAAAAAAAATACCTCCCCCGGCCCCGACGGCTTAACCGTAGAATTTTATCAAGCTTTCTTCCCCATTTTGGCCCCCCTCTTTATGGCAATGATTAATGAAAGCTTCGAGCAAGGATCCCTGCCCGAGTCTCTAAATCTTTTGTATATATCCCTCATTCCCAAAGACTCGGGCTCCCCCCAAGAAATGAAAAACTACCGCCCCATATCCCTCCTAAACGTAGATTACAAAATTCTCTCTAAAACCCTCACCAACAAGTTGAGACCGTTCATGAAGGATCTGATACACACCGACCAAGCTAGCGCGGTACACAGCAGAACGATACAAGACCACAACCACACACTTAGGGACATCATAACATACACCGAAGACAAGCAGCTACACACTTGCATATTATCACTTGACCAGACCAAGGCGTTCGACAGAGTTTCCCACTCTTTCCTCAACAAAATTTTTTAAGCCTGTAACTTCGGCCCTAGGTTCTGTAAATGGATCAAAAGTCTTTATAAAAACCCGCATTCGGCAGTTTTAGTCTATCAAACTCTGTCGGACGCCTTCCGCCTGGGCCGCTCCGTACGACAGGGCGACTCCTTGAATCCGCTCCTGTATGTACTGACACTAGAACCACTCCTAAACAAAATATGGCAGGACGAGAGGATCAGAGGAATCCAACTCCCGGGTGGGGGGGAACAAAAACTCATAGCCTTTGCAGACGACACCAACTTCTTCCCGAGCACCCCCAAATATTCTAAGCTAATCCTATAACACTTTCGGCACTTTGGTAAAGGAAGCGGATCGCAAGTAAATGAGACAAAAACACAGGTACTAGCGTTAGGGAAATGGAAATCAGAAATAGGAGATCCGCTTCACGCACACCTTGTGCAAGAAATTAAGATTTTTGGTATTTATTATAAGAAAAATAGGAACCAGAACCCTCAAAACTCGTGGAAGAAGCTGGTCGAGAAAATTCAGAACCTCCTTGCTAAACTTTATTTCAAACAAACTTCAATTTTTTGCCGTAGCCTACTCGTGAACACCCTCGTCCTGCCGCAAATAAACTACCTCACACAGACACTAGACCCGCCAGCACACACCATACAAAACATCAACAAACACATCCGACAGTTCACTTTTAAAGGCACACCGAGTCGCATCCGACACAGCACACTGATACAAGACAAACAAAAAGGAGAAGTGAGCCTACACGACATACGCACAAAAATCAAAGCATACAGACTCCAGTACATGAAACAGGTCATAGCGGACAAAAACAAACACAAAATAGCACAAAAATGTTAGGCGCACCGCACAACACACCAGTAGACATTTACAAAGCAATTTTTCTCAACATAATACCAACAGAAGACAACGACACACACACAGTCAAACTACACATCTTATCACTATACAGAGACACCGCATGGCAAGCTCGTCTTCAGACAACTTTTTGTAACACCCACCACACACCCACCACCATCATGCACATGTACACACACAAACTTATACACACACTAACTAAACACGATTAGTGGGCAACCTTTGAACGCATGACGAGCTGAGCTGTGGATGGAGAGACAGTGTGAGTGACAGAGCGGGTGAAAGGAGGAATGTATGAGTATATCTACAGGCGACAGCAACTACCAGACGACGACGCGGCGCAACGACGACACCAACCCCTAGTTTTGCCAATATTATTGTCCATAGTTCGCGGAGTGCAAGTGAATGAGTTAAATTTTCTTTGTGCGTGCCTGGAGGGAGGGGTCGGGGTGTGAGAGTTATGCGGACGGGGATGAGCCGTGGGAGAGAACTTGTGAATTCCCTGAGTGAGTGAAAGAGAGGGACGATTTATGAGCCCTGGAGTGAATGGATCCTGTGTTCTATTTTGTATACTTTGATTTTTCTCGAAATAAAGGCTGAAATAAAGCCTGAAAAAACAGATACACACACACTCCTCACTCTTCACCTACACACCTACTACCACACACAGACACACTCATACACACACATGCACACACACACACACACACAAAGAGGGAAAAAAAAAAAGTATCTGTTCTTATCAGCTTAATATCTGATACGTGGCTTCCTAGCCACTACGATATTAAACTGATTTTTGGACACAGGCGAGATGCCCGGGGCTTGCTCCGCTCTCGCCACGGGTCGGCCCGGTATTGCAGTCCCTCCGGGAATGGCCCAATATAAGCAAACAATGTACGAATGGTTCTCCAAACAAACAGACAAACAAATCACACACAAGCGCAAATGTACACATGATGTAGATCTAGATGTACAATAATTGTCGCATGTGTAGCTGCCCGCTCGCTTCAGGTCAAGAAATCTAGTGTGTTATTTAGATCTAGTAAGCGCACATGCGAAAACTGAGTAGAGCTCACTCAGCCTGTTCGCCTCACAATCGAGTGTGCTGTTTCCCCCTTTCAATTTCCATTTTACGCCGGGCAGTCAGAGCAAGTGGAGGTCGAGGAGATCAGAGGGACAAGAAAATGTGCCTGCTCCCTGTCACGATGTCAACGTTTCATTCATTCATTCTGTTTTCCAGTAGCAGCAGTAGCAGGTAAGATCACGTTATTGTTATAGCCTCCCCTGGAGCCGCTTTTTCTTAATGTGGAAATAGCATTAAGAGTTGTGTCCTTTGTCGTAGCGGTGTTGAGATTTACGATTTCGCCTGCATTGACTCAAAAAGCACTATTTTGTCCTAACAGGCGTGTCGCAGCAGCAGTTGTAAACTCACATCCTACTTAAAACGTAAAGGACGTCGTGACAAATTACTTGCTATGATTTGGATAGTGATTGAATTGCGTAACATGGAGATGAAACCAAGATCACTACGACAACGCAAGCGGTGCAGGATTGCAAATGAAGACATGTAGCAAATCATACTTACCTGGGACGGGAGGCACCACTCCTTCATGACACACAGTTTCAGATAGACTCATACACCCACGTAGAGGTGTGCGAGTCCAGCATATTACGATTCGAGTCCAGACTCGAGTATCTGCCATCTGCTCTGGACTCGAGTAATTACTCAAGTAGTATTATCCCGAAAGGGAATTTTTGTGGGTTTCAAAAAAAGTTTTGTTGAATATCGGACAGAAAATAGAGTGCCTTCCTAGGAGGG